TTACCACCAGCATCACAAAGTACCATACACACACCATAGCGATGTGCCTGGACACCCAAGGGAGCACTGGAGAGGATTTGGACACTGAAGAACGCCCCACATCCTTTGTTAGTATAGAAATGCTCTGCTACATTAGCAGCCACAAGGAACCCAGAAGAGTCCGTGAACGACAGTGCCCTTTCAACCGCATTCAGGGGAGCTAGCAGTTGTGAATCAGCAAGATCGCAGCAAGAAAACATCCGACTTAAATCCTCCTATCCTCATCTTGCCAGGAAAATGAAGCCTTATCCTGCGGCAATAGGATGAAATCGCCGTGCTCCTCCTCCCCTTTCCGGGGCACACTGCGCCTTTTCTTTCTGTGTAATGGAGGTGCCAGATGAGATGTTCCCTTCACCGGGGAGGAGGTGGCTGGTTCTGGACAGGAACACTTGGGTATCAGCTAAATCGGAGGCCAGGCCTCCGCACTGGAACCGTGCATAATGCCTCCCTAGCCGGAGTCACAGCACAGCTCGTTCTTGAAGTTCAACTGCATAATCTCAGCTCACAGATCTTGAATAGATTATGGTTTAAAATGCAGCTCTATAAAGTCTATGTTATTAAGCAACTGTGTACTATGGTGATAGTATCTATGGAAATGCAACTCAGGGAGTAAATGTGGATCAGCATGTGGACTTTCCTAAGGCAGGACCATGCATAGTATTGGGTGATTCCATCTTCTCACCTTAAAAGGGCTTTGGCTGGTCCTCTGTTTTGAAAAGTCCTGGCCTTGTCTGGATGACACACAAAAAAAGAGACTCAGAGTGAACATTTAAGATTGCTGGTTTCACACTACAGAAAATTCAACACTGTCCTCTTTGTACAACTAGAACTTTAAAACTTCACTCACCACGAGGACAGGAAAAACACCAGAATGACCCCCAATCTTTGAAAGAAATTAAAAGACACTTTTGTTAAAAACTATTTATTCTTTATAAATATAATTCTCTATCCATTACACAACATGAAAGGAATCACAAAACTTTACTCATGGGAAAATAAGGTTTTACAACTTGATTTATAAAAGTTGAAGTGAAAATTTAATTACTTCCAGTGTTAGTTTTCTGTAAAACATATAAATAATCATACCATTAAATTCTAGGAATGCACTTGCCATTTAAAAAAATAGTTAAATTGGTAGCAATAATCACTTATGGTAGAAACAGACTATAAGAAGTTACTCCATGGATTTGCTTTTGCAAAGAAAGGTTAAAACAAGCTCTCACGAAGGTGCACACCTCCTATTAATAGCTTTCACAAAATAAAAATAGCCCTGCTTCCTTGGCCTATAGCCCAGTGGATTTCTACCATTCTTCCTCATCAGATTTGTTGCTCGTTTAACCCTTCTTCCCATCCGCAGTCTCTCTCTCTTGCCAGTCACAAATTTTATATATTTAAAAATATTTTATTTTCATTTGGCAAATGCTAACTATTAAAGAATTTAACAGGAATTGTCTGTGTAAAGAGAAAATAGTCTAAAAAAAAACCCCAAAGAACCCAGACAGCTGTCTTCTCTGAGGAAAACGTGTAAGCTTTCACTCAACTTTAATAAAATCTAGGATGAATTTTGGGGTGACCCATTAGAGACTTTGCAAATGAGCCCTATTTTCAGCTAGAAAGAACAGTGGTTCTCTGGGAAAAGAAAAAACCACATGCTTATTTAAAAGTGCAAATAAACCTCTCTAAATCAGTGTTCATTTCAAAAGGTGCCAGCCAAATATTAACAAGAAAGTGTGCAGAAATAAGAAAACACCAATGCCACAGTCATCTGTAAAGTAGTAAGAAATTCTGTCATTCATAACAATATGTTTATTCTCACATAGGTCAACTTTTCATTAAAGCTTGTTCCCTCACACCAAATATAAAAGGACAGGAATGAAGTTAACATAGCTATTTTTGTTTAAAAATGAAAAATTATGTTTGAATTTATGGACATACCAGACCTGAAACATCTTCCTCTGCACAGCTGTTTCAGCCACTATGGTATATTTTGGAGCAGTGTTTGCTAGCACTCATCTACGAAGTTATTCCAGAAGAGTTATTCCAGTTAACTCCTAGGAGTACGCTCTTATTCCAGACTCCACCGTCAGCATATCCACTCGACACGCAAGTCCTGCAGCAGGGAACCCACAGTGCTCACCTTCCTCCCGCTTTTCTATGCTACTCTCTTCCCCTGTCATTTATTTTCACCCTTTGGTGTTGTGCTGGTAGTTAAGCCTGCCTGTAACCACGAAACAGGCAGCAGCAAACTTATTCATGAATGCCCACAAAAGATGGATAACCGGGCTGTCAAACCAGACCAGTTAAAGCACTTGTGTCTTCTGCGTTTGAGGTTTTGAGAAAGCTACACCACCACAACTGCCCTCCTTTCCCACGCAAGAGCCAAGGGATGCGCAATCAGTGCAACTCGGCTCAGCTTACTCAAACACAATATGTAAAATGCAGCTTTTCTGGACCATCTGCAAGGTGGGGGAGGGTGTCTGCCAGAAATCACAGCCAGTCCCTGAGAATTTGGCCTTTTCCTGCTGCACATAGCTTCTGCCAGGTTACGTTCTCCCTGGCTCTGTTTGCCCTGGGACTGCTGACGAGTAACAGGCTCTCTAGAGTTTGCTCAGTGCACTTTTATCTGTGCAATTAGCAGAGGACAACAATTCTGATTCGTGCATTAAGATAAGCGTTATGCTGAAAGGCAACAACTCGGGAACCTGGCAGCACAGGCTGTACAGACCTGCCCACCTTGCTTCAAGTGCTATCAGACCCTAGCACCTAGTTGTACTCACATTTGCATCTTCATCACCTAGGAAGAAATTTTTCACTCTGAGGGCGGTGAGCCCCTGGCACAGGTTGCTCAGAGAAGTTGTGGCTGCCCCATCCCTGGAGGTGTTCAAGGCCAGGTTGGACAGGGCTTGGAGCAACCTGGGCTGGTGGGAGGGGTCCCTCCCAGGGCTGGGGGTTGGAACTCGATGATCTTCAAGGTCCCTTCCAACCCAAACCATTCTATGCTTCTACGACTCAGCAGATCCCTGAGCAGGGAAGGATTTGAAACCAATGCCTATCGCCCAGCAAAGTCTCCATCCTTCCCTGTACTACAGAATTTCAGGTCCCAAGGGGGTCGCCAGACGCCCAGGTCCAGTTCCTGAGGATCCCATTTTTCCCTCGTGATGCTCCAGGGCTGTGCAGCGAGGCCAAGCCTGGCACAGCCCTCCGACCAGCCCTGCTGAAAGAACAGCACACAACTTACTTCTGCTGCTTGGGGTCAGGGCGCCATCCCCTGTCAGCATCAGGGTCCCTGCCGAGCCCTCAGTCCCTGGGTCACCTCGGACCCCGCCATCTCCATATGTAGCTACTTCTCTGGGCAAACAGGGCCAGCACCCGCAGGAAGAAGAGAGAAATCCCCTTGGCAGTGGTGTTTGCTCCTATGCAGAATCCTCCCTGCTGGCAGCCAGTACCACATCCATGTCCCATCCATGTCCCATCCCGGGGGACTGGGTTTGTCTCTAGCCTCCACAGGGACCGTTGGCCCAGATTCTCCCCTCTTGTGCCTTCTTGTTTCCTTACCAAAAGTCGCACTCTGGTGTGCTGCGGAAAATTACCCATTAGAGAAGATCATGGAACATTTGAGGATATCGTGAAAGCAGAGAGACACCAATTGTGTGTGGCCGTGTTCTGGGAAGGTGAAAATCAAGAAGGGGAGAGCAGGGTCCCTAGGTAGGACCAGATGCCTCCAACCTTTCCTATGAGCAACAGCACTATGCATTTCTATAACCGCTTAATGGTGTCCTGTCAACACAGAGATGCAATTTGCTAGTTCTGTGTGCCCAAGAGTACAGAGAAAATTTCCTCCCCCTATAAGTCAGCGTCCTTGAGTTCAAACCCCACCACCACCATCCACAAACACTGTAAGTACCTTAATGTGTGCTGTAATGACGGGTACGTTGATAGTTTATAAAGCTGCCTCCCGCATAAATTTTATAAGCCACTGAATGACAGCGCAAGCTTCAATTCTTAGGACAGAGAAAAGTTCATTTCAGAGAATGAGACACAGAAAGAGGGTTAAAGAAAACATGTCTTTGCTAGCTAAATGCAAACAACTCCTCAGAACGCCAAGCTTTTCCCTCTATAATTATTGCACTGCAGGCAAATAACAGCTCTGTGAACTGCCATATTCCTCACCCTGTCCCCATTATTCTAACAGCCTAAAAAGCGATGTGTCTTCCTTCTCCATCCCCCATGGTATCAGCTATCCACTTAATGAAAGCAGCAAATTACTGCTTATAAACTCAGCCTCTGCTGCTGGGCAATTTGCAAAGACTCAGGACCGCAGTGAGCTCACAAATCAGTGTCAGCACTTAGGGGCCACGTGCCACAAAAGCAAACGGGTGTCTGTGCTCCCAGGAGAGCACAGCCATGGCCAGCGGCTGGCTGACACCACCATGGGCTGCATGTACCAAGACTACAGATCCAGGTGCGCAGAACCATCCTTTTACCGAGACAACAACTCTGTCCCAGCCAGACGGAGCAGGGCAGGGGATGAACATGTTATTACTGCCTTCTAGCCTGAGAATTTAAAAAAATATATATAAAAAAAAAATTGGCAGGTACTTAATTTAACAAATCTCCCATAGTGCCTGCGAGGTAGTTAAATGCTAGTAACCACAAAGGTCTGACAGGGAAAACTGAGGCACTTCAAGGTGAGGTAATTTGTCCAAAGTCACAGTCAGAATCGCCAGCAGAGCCAGAAATGCTGCACCGGGCTCTTGGCTCCTGCTTAGCTCTGAACACTGAGCCGAGCTCCTTTCCGGGCTCAAATGTCAGAGGCACTGCAGGCCACGGATTTCCCAGAAGGTTAGAAGAGTCTGTCAGAGATGAAGCTGCTGCTGGCAACAGAAAAACATGGACATTGTGTAGGAAAATCCAGGCTGTAAGGGCCACGCAGACAAGGGAGGAGGGACACTGTGAAGACATCACCCAAGCAGAGCTTCGTAATCCACATACCACACCAGCTCTCCGGAGCTGGGGCTGACGCCCGAGATAGGCCATTTCCTCGGCTCATGGCCCACTCTGCTGAGCAGGGTGGTGATGTCGTGCTTGCCCTTCCCCAAAACCAGGACAAACACCTGCCTGGCCTTGTTGATGAGGGGTAGGCTAAGGCTCATCCTTTGGTGAGGTTTGACAGGGCTTTCGGTCAGCACCACAGTCTGAGCCCCCTCCAAGCCATTTTCAGAGTGGGGGAAGAGTGAGGCAGTGTGCCCATCAGTGCCCACCCCCAGCAGCACCAGGTCAAAGCTGGCATTGGCCACCAGGGCCATGATCTCCTTGGCATACAGCTCCGTGCCTCTGTCTTCTTCCACACAGAGCCGCTGGTTCAGGTGCACAGGCATGGGGTGGACGTTGAAGTAGGGCACCCTGACACTCTGGAGAAGGTGGTTATGCAAGCTGAAGAAGTTGGACTCGGTGTCAGTGAGAGGGACACAGCGTTCATCTACCAGCCAGATGTGGGTGTGCTTCCATGGGAAGGCATAGTGGTGTCTTGCTAGCCGCTGGAATAAGACCACTGGGCTTGAGCCCCCTGAGAGGGCCAGGTGGAACTGCCCAGAGCGTGCAACAGTCCTGCTTGCTGCCTTCTCGATGTCAGAAGCCAGCAGGGAAATCAGGTCCTCCGACCATGCTGAGACCAGGGGACTTTGCCGAAATTTGGACTGGATCGTCCTGAAATCACTTGGCATCAGCCTGTTGGGGTTCAGTAGTTCCACTGGCTCTGCCAGTGTGAATGCCACTTCCCCGCTCACCATCTCAAAGTCTAAGAGGTGCTGGTTCTCCACTCCCCCAGGGTAAAGACGCAGGGGCTGGTGGGAAATGCTATCCAGCAGTGGTGTCCAGAACCCCCAGGAGGCCAGCAGGTTCTCAGTGGTAATGAAGAAGTCCTTCCTGGCATGGTAGATGTTGGAGATGAGGACAGAATACGCATCTCTCTCTTTTACGGGGCTGTACACATAATAATCAGACAATGGTTGTCCAAAAATGTGCAGGTCTGACTGACCCACTGCTTCTCTCCAACTGCCTTCTGGCATGACAGGCCTGAAAAGGTTCCTGCTCACAAGCACCGCAGGGGTGTTGAGTGCGCCGTGCCCAATGTAGAAGATGATCTGCTTGGCTTTGCATTGGCTGTGCCCTGCATCTCTCAGAGTCTCGCTCTGAGTGCAGTAGGCTCGGTTCTTGAAGAGAACACGGACATAACCTACCCGTTCATCCAGAGCTTTCCCAGAAGTAAGGAGGAAAGGGACTCCTTCCCAACGCAGGTTGTCACTGTGAATCAGCACACCTGAAATGATATTGATCGCAGCTACCAAATTAAACCTGAACAGTGAGCAGATTTGAGGGGATCTCTATCACCTACCCATCATTCTCCTTCCTTAGCTCCCAGAGATCTTGGCATCCACTGTGTCTCTTGCTCCACGTTCAGCCGTTTCACAACATCACTGGACTAACTGCTCTCCAGCTACCCTGCTGTGCTTCCTCCCAGCTACCCTACTTGATTAGTCTCCTTTCATCTTGCAGGAAACCAGTTTCTGAGCACAAACTTTAATGTTCAGAAGACACAGCATGGCCAGAGATGGCCTTGTGGTCTACTAATCACAAGGAACTGCCAATGCTTTATCCCTCAGATGCAGAGAGCAACTCAACTTTATGAAAAGGCAAAGGAGTTTGCAGGCCACTTCTAAATATAACACACATCTTATCAAGAATAATGGGACTTAGCGCTTATGCAATGCTTCCCATTCACCAGATCGTTTGTTAACTAACATGACAACAGTATTATCTTGTTACAGCTCCCAGTGGCCATGTCGGTGGATGCCTGGAGACATCCCTGTGCCAGCAGTGAGGACCAGAGTCTCGGAGCTGGTATCAGCATGCAAGGACTCACATCTCCTGCTCTCCTCACCTCTAGACTACTCCCCTCTCCAGGGCCCAGACTAAACTCTCACCTGCAAAGGTTGGTGTTGTGCTGATGTAGTCTCGTGCCTTCTGCAGTTCCTCCTGTACTTGGCTGGCATATGCCTGATACTGACCCAACACAGCACTGTTTTTCTCCAGACCCCGCAAGGACTGGAAGGCCTGCAGCTTGCACTGCAAAACCTCTTCAGCCCTGCTCACGTTGGCTGGGAGCTCCATGGTCAGGAACATCAGGGCCTCCGTGAGGTGGTTCTGCAGCACATCCCGGATTACTCCATACTGCTCGTAGAAGCTGGTGCGGCCTGAGGACAAAAAAGAGGTAAGATGCCGGTAAATTGATCTGGTTTTCTTGCAGCCTTGCCCTCTGCATGTATAATGCGTGTGCAAAGGAGAGCAAAGAGCACAAGCCTTAATTGGTTTGGACCAAGCTCCTCTTCTCCTGGCCCAACAATTAACTTGAAGCTATCAAGCTGAGAGAAGTTGTGGATGTCCCTTCACAGGACATGTCCAAGGTCTGGTAGGATGGGGCTTTGAGCAACCTGACCTAGTGAAAGACGTCTCTGCCCATGGAAGGGGGGTTGGACTAGATGATCTTCAAAGGTCCTTTTCAACCCAAACCATTCTACAGTTCTATGATTCGAAGCCTTTCCTCTCCCTCCAGAGAGGCTTCCAAAGTGTCTCTGCTACTAAAATACAGATAAAAGGTTCCCATGGGACTGCTTGGCCTCCACACAGACAGACACAATCCCCCTTGTGGGTGCTTACAGGGCCTAAACCCAGCAGGAGTAATGCTCTTGCCTGATACTTCCAGAGCAGAAGGCAGCTTTGCTTTCTTGGACTGCTTGTGCTTTCGGAAGCTGCGGTCAGTGACTGGTAGCAATATCCAGCTCAAACCTCCCACGTACAGTGTGATGCAGGGCCCCTGTATACCCCTCGCCATGACACTCCTGTCCCACAGGTCACAGCACCTGGGCCTGGGACTCCACAGTACGTGCAGTTCTACGCAAAAGCTTTGACAGTGTAGCTGGAAAGTGGGGTGACAGCAGGGACCCCAGCAGCTCTGTAGCTACACACCAGGTCCCCAGAACAACTGAAGCTGGGCCGTGGCAATGAGCACTGCCTTCACTGCCTCTTTTCCCCTGGTTTTCATGTCCTTAGGAGGCTCTGGCTGAGCCATGCCCTTCAGAGACAAAATTTTATGCACGAAGCCCTGCTTCTC